ACTGACAAGTCTAGTACTTACAATTACAAAACTAGATGCAGAATTGACAGATCTTACCCTCTAGGTATACAGGTAAAATTCTTGCTGGTTTAGAGATGATGATCGAAATTAATAAAATTTTCCACATGAATCTGCTTAGTTAATAGTATATAATTATAGTTTAATCGTTGCAGATATACACCTTTCATTTTCTTCCTATTAATTGATTGGAGGAAAAGTGGACATTTCATAAGGCATACAATAAAATAACGCCCTCCGCTAGTTTTATTCTTAGAAAAGTCATTCAGTAGGTTATGGATGGTTTGATGCTGACATTTATGTGTAAATACAACAGTATAAGAATACGATGATCTTTCTTGCGCCTATAGCTTGCCTACAGTAAATTTACTGATAGTCTTGCTAATAATAATGGTATGGCGATACAAACCTAAACAGTTTAAATGGGCGAATGAAAAATATTGATAAGATCAATGGATTTGGGTATAATTGATCCGTAAAGCATAATAAATTGTTATAGCGTTGTTGGTTTATGATTTCACAACTTTAATTATCAATCAATTCAGCACTGCACTAAATCAGAATTATAAATTTTAATTGCTATCACCATCACAGTTGACATAGTCAATACAGCACAAGTTCATTGAATTGTATCATACGCCAGATCCTTTATAATATTTCATCTTGGGTCATTATAGTATATACGGGTATTAATATATTAATCTAATATACGTTATAATCATTCCTTTTAACAAGACAAGACATAACAGGTAGCTAGCAGTCAACTAATTAATATGGTCAAGATAAGCACATCATGAATATAATTTTACTTCCATTTGTTGAATACCATTTTAAATCACGATCGGTATTCTATGATTTAAGATCTCTCTAGGTACTGAATCTTTATGATACCACCATTCATGGTAGCAATAACACTCCAAAAATAAAATCAAGGATACTTTAAGAATAACTATTTGCTGTTGTAAACAGATATTCCGTATATTCTTTTATTTTCTTAATAATATCTGGCCTAAGTACGCACGTTGAAAGTCATGAGACTTATTCCTAGACAAAAAATGGAATAAGTTACGGCTAGCCTACTTCTAATCCTTAAAATTAATAATTAATGCGTTATGTTAAAAATTCTTTTTCTATAGCAAGGCAAAATTCCAAAGAGCCTTTCAAAGTTTACGCTGTCAATGCATACTGTAATAATAAAACTGGTACTAAATAGATACGTAACATTTTGGAATAATTTTACTTCATCACCAGAAGGATAACTTACATCATTTTCATCTAACGCTCCATCGCCATCTTCGTAAACTTCACCAGCTTTGCCCCAGGTCCCTTTACCACCACCACCACCTATCATAATATCGTAAAATAGTACAAACGCATGTTCTAGTGCCATAGTGTATAGGTATAGCAACAGATTACCACAAAATTACCTTTAACTGCATAGACTGCATAAATATGCGTACATTAGTTCTAAGACTACCCATAATAGTGTTACATTATAAGATTCATATCGAATAAAGTAAAGGTAAACTGGAAGGCAGATTAGCCCTATTTCATAGGTTAATTTCAACGTGTACGAGATGAGTTCTCTTTATTTATAACTAGAACTATTATAAAAACGTTGATGTATTTCATTTCATCTAGCTGGCCTACACAATCCGTATCTCTCATCTACATTAGTATCAGAGTCATATCGTCGCTATGCTTGTACACTGTAACTGTATAGACTCTAATTTATAACAAAATCCATTGCATACATACACTTGTACAATATATAATTAATTAATTTGTGCCACGATTTGGGTTTTATAAGAGGCTGCATGAGTGCTTACAGTACATGTTAGGTTGGCGTGTAAAACAGGTAAGATTGACTCCTTCGTTAACTGCTCATTTTGTGTGATATGATCATCGATTGTACAAGACGTTAAAATCGATGAGCTATATTACAATGCAACGCTTGCAGATTGCAGCACCGTCGTTATTCTACTAAAGGGTGTAGAATATTCGTTTTAAACGCACGATATACAATTATGGATTATTTACTACGATGCAATGCGGTCAAAAATGAAGTGCAGCAAGAGCACAGTGAGATGTAGACTTAACATGCTATAGTCATAATTGGAGCCGGATCAATTCGGCTCCTTGATAAGCCATGCATTCGTTGATTCGATTGCATTTCTTACTTTTAAGCTTGACATATAGGAAAATGGGACAAGGTGTTTGATATTGGCGTTAAAAAAGATAGATTGACTTGATCGATGTTCTCAGTTTAGGTATTTCAATTTATTTATTATTACTACTTGTCAAGCAGCGGTGGATATTGACTAGTACAAATTGTAAATAAAAACTGACCAGTAAAATATGGGCCTTTGAACAGTGCTGCAAACGTAAAAATCGGTCAGCTTTATACTGCAATCAAGTGCGAATTGGGAAGCTAGCAGGATATCTATCTTGCTCTTCACCGTTGATTTTTTTTGTTTTTGGCCTTTCTTACCGACTTTGCTCGTGTTAATAATGATGTTGTCATGGCCTAGGGGGAACTAGCGATATCGTTAGCTTAGTATTGTTGATTAGGTGTAATGGACAACTACAGTCAATTATATATAATTATTGGGATGTATTAACAACCATCACCATTCAAGTTGGAGACTCTTTTATAGGGAATGAGCTTTCCTTTCCTACCACAGGTATACCGTTGATTTTTTTTTGTTTTTGGTCTTTCTTACTGGCCTGGCTCTTGTCCATAATGCTGTTGTCATGGCCTATGGGGAACTAGCGATATCGTTAGCATAGTAATGGTTGATTAGGTGTAATGGACAACTACAGTCAATTATTGGGATGTATTTACAACCATCACCATTCAAGTTGGAGCCTTTTATAGGGAATGAGCTTTCCTTTCCTAACACAGGGAATACCGTTGATTTTTTTGTTCTTAGCCTTTCTTACTGGCTGTGCTGTTGTCAGAACTAACGATATCGTTAGCTTAGTATTGTCGATTAGGTGTAATGGACAACTACAGTCAATTATTGGGGTGTAATCACAATCACCACTAATTAAGTCGGAGCCTCTTTTAAAGGGAATGAGCTTTCCATTCCTAGCGTAGGAACGCCATTGATTATTTTGTTCTGGCCTTTCTTACTGGCAGAGCTTGTGTCAATAACACTGTTGTTATGGCATATAGGAACGAGCGAAATCGCTCGATTAGTATTATTGATTCGATGTAATGAACAATTGTGATTGAGACGCATTGATCATTTTCTTTGCAATATTGGATAGGGATTTGGATGAATTAAGAATCTATTTGAAACAGTCTCTTTCTGGGACAAATTCGCGATGGTTGTGCTGTGGCATAGACTGTAATAGCCGTCGATTTTATACTGTTATTATTAGGTAGTATAGAAGATAAAATATGGCAGTTAAGCAGTCTAGAGATCATTTCCTTACGAGTTGAAGTATGTCTCTGCCATTTTGGATGGATTAAGGCAGTAGTGGTCATTGATCGATGGAAAATGATTTGAGTAGGTCTATTCGAAATAGTTGTAGACCAAGATTAAAACAACCGATCGTCAAGATGTTACATTGTATGCTAGTTAGGCATCTATTTCTACCGTATAGAGATGTAGATTCTGGCTTTACAGATAGGAACACGATTGCAATGTTATCCATCCTCTATTTTAACAACAATATCATTGCTCATTATCTATCATCATGGATATAGGTAATAACTGACCTTTCTTCGGCTCTCCACGCCCTTTACCCATACGCGAATGCCTGTCCATAGCCTTATTTTTACTGTCTTCAGTAGCCATCTTGGTATTTTTATCCACTTTTTGTTTCGATCGATCTTCTTTCATCGGATTGAGTTGGTCACTATCGACCAAGTTTCGATTGGCATTTTTACCTTGATTTTTATCCGGTGAAGACATGATGTGCTTGATCGAAGCTTAATAATCAATCAATTTTGAGCTTGAATGAATGTTACCAATTGCAACACGCTTTTAGTCTGCCTAGTAAAATGATTTTGCTGCTACAAAATATGTGCAAGTGTGCAACAACGTGTCGATGAGCACCAGACTGTAAAATGACTGCTCTCACCTTGTTCATAAAGTGATAGTACTAGTGTAAGTGGGTTGCTATCGTCTTGAGAACGACTGGCAGCTACAGTAGTCTATTAGGGGACAATTGCAAGGGTTGCAAGCGATTAAAAACGTTGGATGCCAAGCTAATTTCAACTTGATGACAAAATTCTTCTTTCCTGCTAGCCTAGCAGCAAATTGCTTTGCTCCTTCACCACCGTAACCAAGGAACGTTTGTCGACCATCGACTATACTATGTCCATTCTACGACTGAATTAATACTGCTTTACTATGAGTATTGCCTAGCAATACTTTATTCGTACTGGAGTCTATCCATAACAGACGGACGGATATGGAAGGTCTGAAGAGATACACAGCGGGTCCGCCCAAATTGGAACCTAAATCATACAGTAGGCTATAGATTGGATAGATGTATCAGTATTAGTACTATCAGTACTAAAGTAGGCCACAGCCCTACCCAATAACCTTTAAATCACAAAATAACTTTACAAATAGAGCTAAAATAGCTCTATTTTACTGTATGTTAACCTCATCAATGCTTACTACGATCAATACTCGGCCAAGAGGATCTTTCATGATAGACCAGAATCAACGATGAAAACATGTTCTGACACACCCCCAATGCCCCACTAGGTGTTGTGAGTCACAATCCAGACTCACTAACATCATGACTGCTACAGTATGGTATCACTGCCTTTATTTGATACAGTAGATAGTCCAAGGGAACAAGGTACTAGTACCGGACCGATTGTGTCGTTAATCCTACGCCGCTGCTGCCTTATCCTGCACGCAATATTTCAATCTCATCTGGACTACTCTAGCTGCTAGAAGTAAAAGGAAAAGACGATCGGTAGTTTAAAAGGAAGAATTGACAAGAGGACTATTATCATGGAGGAGAAATATCTTTGTCGTATTGAAGCTGCTGGTCAGAAGTATTACTTGATGACTTCATGGGAGAATGACGATGTCGATCAATTGTGTAAGCTCTTCTTAACCGATGGCCAAAGTGCTTGGCATACTGTAGGTAAGCACTAACTAGCTCAAGTCATGCGATCCAATTAGTTGTAATCGCTGATATACGACGTAGCCTTTCTGCTATATGGATAGAGATTATGATAGGAATGGTATGGGCTTTGCTTTAGCTTGGAGAATTGGATTGTAGTATCAGCATCTCACGGATTGGACGGCTTCGGAGTCGTATACAGCCAGTTCGTGATAGCAGTTCATCAGTTGCACACGCTTAGAATGAGTACTCCTCTTACAATTCTGTCTGTTGCATTTCAAATGATTCAAGCAAATGACATGGTGTGTACTTTCTTGGCAGCATCCTATGCCGCACTACAACTTAATCCGATTGATTAGCATCGATTGGAATCATTATACGGATTGGACGGCTATAGATAGAGTTGTCATTGTGCAGCCAGTTAGGGATAACAGGCCATTTGTTGCACACTACTAGAATAAGTACTCCTCTTTTAAGTCTATAAGTTGCATTTGAAATGATTCAAGCAAATTATATGCTGTGTACTTTCTTAACAGCATTCTATGCTGCACTACAACACAATCCCATGGATTAATATCGATTGGAAACATCACACGGATTGGACGGCAACAGAGTCGTCATGGCGCAACCAGTTGGTTCTACAAGTAGTTGACTATGAGTTATATTAGAATTCATTGACGCAAATTACATCGTGTGTCTACTGTCTTGATTACATCCTATAATGGGCTAGAAGAGGATCTGAATGATATCCATTGCATTGACATTAGTCGAACAAACCAACTAGATGGTCAAAAATAGTAATAATAATAGTGTCGTATTATGAGATAAAATAATCAATATCAGCTCATACGTAAGCAGTATATCTTACCTAGTTTATATAGGATTTTCCATGCCAATATAAATGATATTGTATTAGGAAGTAATGTATTAGATAAGCTCGTATACATACTGTACAGTACTGTACCTTAACTAATTTAGAGAAGACTTTCCATGCAAATAGTTCTACTAGCTATTCATACTTGACTAGGATGATTGCTTACCTCTCCGCTACCGTACGTAATTCGGCTGATCAATTTCACGCCGCTATGCTCTACACTTGCTTATTCTTTCTTGATGTCTCTTACAGTTACCGATGGTGTTGCTAACCGATTGGCTAGAAGTGTTCAAATGGACTTGCATGAATATTTAAAACAGACAAAGAAAGCATTTACAGCAAATTCTTCCGCCAATTCTAATTTTCACTTCGGCGTCTCCTTGCTGCCGGACCATAACACTGTCGAGGTTGCTATTAAAATTGAAGACATGATTAAAAGTGATGACAGACTCTGCAAATGATCATCCCTAAAACTGTTGTAAATTGAAATTGCGTCGTCATCATGCATTACTTGATATTGAATTATTCGAACGGATGCATAGCTGCATTTAGATTTTATTCAAAGATTAGGCATTAATTGACTAATAACAATAATCTTTCTCTTGGCATAGTTTGCTTGGAAGAAGTACCTAAGAAGCGAAGATATGAAAGTAAGCTTTATGATATTCTAATATTAAAGCTAATACTAAAGCTGGGTAATGTGCAGTAGATGAATTAGACATCATAAAGTATATTGACAAAATGATGCAACTTTCACATTTGTTTCCAATCCTATTGGTCTTAACAATTCTGATGAAAGGAAATTCAAATCGATGAAAGTGATTAATATCCTTGCTGTCACTTCCTTTAGTTTCAGCTTGGTAAATTAAAAATGGCCGCAGTCACTGACCCGAAAGCAATTATAAGCGAATTATTTGATTTCAGCTTGAGCCAAATTTCGAACTTAAAAGTAATTTACTTTGTAACTTTTTTTGTAACGGTCCATTTGCCATGTAGCTAATTATACTCGATATTTTAGAAATAAAGTGTATATTGATTGCGTATCCTTACTCCAGTTGCCATTAATATCACTTTTAGATGAATATTGCATCGCTTAATTCTACAAATGAACGTCTATCTAGCGAGAGAGCTGAATCTCTCAAGGTAAGTTAGGACAACGTAGAAATACCCATATTTTTAATGCTAAGTGACTCATTAAATTGAATATATAATGTATACAAAATTAGAATCTCGAGGAATTTGTAGTTACAAAAGAGAACTTAGAAGTGGACATGTATGGCAAAGTAAGTGATAAAGCCAAGGTATCAGAGAATTAACTTCAGCTAGAATACTTTATACTGTATTTGCTACTGCATGGTATTGATTAATGAAAAATCCCTTTGCAAATAAATAATACTAATATCGGTATCATGTAAATTGTATAGTTCATTCGAGTACTCAATAGCAAGAAGAATAAAATTAGGACACTTACAAATCAAGGTAATTAATTTGCTACTGCATACAATTAATGCTGTGGCATTAAAAGAATTCTGGCAGTATTGTTGACAACTATTGTGGTGTTTTTTTATCTTGACTGGTACATGGGCTGTTCCTTTTTTTAGTTAGGAATATGCCCACGTTTCCTACCAGTGTCAAGATGGAGGAGAAAATTAAAGGTATAAATTTCGCTATAGTAAATAAACATAAGGAATAAAACACTATATGTAAACGTTGCTTATTCTGTCACTATGTAAAGTCGAGAAAGAGGAAGAAGACGATTTATTATTGCCGGGTACAAGTCATAGTGGACCTGGTACTAGCTCGACCTCCACTGAAAATGAAAATAGCTTACCGAGTTCAAGTTTAATGCTTGAAGATACTGTTAGTAATATTTGTGTCGCACCTACAGCTAAGAGGTATTAATAAAGTGGTTTCAGTCAATGTGATTCAGATTTTTGTAAGCTTAGTGTAGAATTGCAAATAAGTGGGATATTGTTGTTGACTTGATGTTCTTTATAAATAGGAGAAAGCGCCGAGGAGCAGCAATAAAGTCGGATGCTGACGATCTTCCAGCTTTACCTAAAACCCGTTCTCTACGTAAAAATTCCAGTCAATTATCTAGAAATAATAGCACGGGGTATGAGTTTAGTACGATATCTCATGAAAATTAAAGTAATCAAATAGTTTTTCAATGACTGTATATCTTCGTATAACTACCGCACTTCAATTTAATAGGTCAAATTCATCACAAGGACGTCTCAAAAGAAACAGTTCAGCTCTACCGGGAGCTGAAGATCTGATGGAAGAAATTTAATTTGTGACTTCCATAGACACACAAAACTAACTTTAAATAGCGGATGTTGGGTTACCGAAATTTGTAAATTACAAGAAAGATGCTCGTATTAGTATACTTCACCGTTACTTGACTACATTTTAAACAAATATTATACGACCTTCCATTGTATCCAACCATTGTATATATAAAGTACAGTATATACAGTATTTACAAGAATGTATTGGTAACTATAGATAAAATTGTCATTTTACTACCTTGTAACGACGCTATATTGGTTAACTGTTATCTCGATCCGCCAAATTTTAACATAGGCTGGGTCTCAAATTTTTTACATCTCATATTATTTTTGTTCTATTTTAGAAGTATAGTATTTATTTAACATTTACTCTCTTGATAATTTTTACATACAGATTCAATTTTAAACAATTGTTATAATCAATAGTGTTAGCAACTGAACTGAGTTCGGTTTCTTAAATAAGTATTGGATACCGAATTCGTAGTTCAACTAAAACTTTAACAACCGATAAGGGTGTAATTAAATCGATAAAGACGCAATCTCTTATCCGATAGATAAAAAAAGATAAAGATATAAAAGATATGATTCTTAATAACATTTAAAAATAGACACGTAATATGAAAACTGAGCTACAGAATATTTTGAGCTGGGTATTTTTTTATCAAAAGTTGCAAAATTAAAAAAATTATCACGTTTATAGTGCATTACTGTAAACATGGATCGAATGACGGTAATGAAACTATATGTAAATTTGAGTTCTGGCAAATGCTTTTTAAAATTCTTCAAGACAAATGATTTGTCTTTTTCGTCAGATACCATCTAGACATTACAAGGCTATTAATTCATTGAAGGTAGTTAAATATTTATATAAGAAAAAAATGGATATGGAATCCAATAATACATCAACAGTTACACATTGAAAGACTAAATTTTCTTTCTGAGCTATCATATAGTGCTTAAAAGTACCATATTCGTCTAGTATAGTTTGCTACTTTACTGCAAAATAGTCTCAGAACAATAACGTAATGCATTATTGGACCATTAGTCAGAATATACATTTACAACTAAAATGATACTAAACAAAATGTATTTCAAAGGGGGCACAACTTGCTACGTTATGCCAATAGAGTGAATAAAATTGACGTAGTAATATGCGATTACAATTCTATGTGAACATCAGTACTATCTTGGACGCTTCGGCGACGACGGCGGTTGTTCGGATATGTCGCTTGGAATCGACCTTCTTCTAATGAACTCTAAAAAAATAAACCAAATATTTTAATTACCTAGGTGCAATCGGATAATATGGATAAATTTAGCCAAATTACGTAAAGCGATATCACTAATGTTACAGTCGTACAATGTTACGGATTGATAGTACTCACATAAACTATTTGTGGACCACCTTCAAATTGACCATGGAACGCATAAATGTCCTTATCGACCAGTAAATGTTCTGCAGTAAGATCCATGTCGTAATGAGCATGAATAATTTTCTTATGCAGTTCTCGTGTTAAACCAGGGTATTTCCAATAATCAATTATGGATGGTGACCCTATCAATTTTATACTCCAGATACGAACCTATTGCACAGATAATTATGTATGTTAACAACACGATCAGAGCGAGAAGAGTCATATCCTAAAAATGTTACGGGAATATCAGTAAAATTAATATATTTTTGACATACTTCATCTAATGTTCCGGTTATGAAATTAGATTGGTCCCTACCAATATATAGGAAAGTTTCGTTGTACTATAGCCAAGGATAGAGAATTAGTTAACTATCGTTCCATTATAATTAATGAGCTAAATGCCTACTCTTGCAATTCAATGTAACTCACAAATTCATAAATTGGTACACCAGTGGTTGTAGCTACTACAGTTCCATTTTCAAAGATATCTATCTGTTGATTGGAAGCATCATATCTAAAAGTTACGTGATTCCAAACACCACCCGGTAGATCCGTCGATGATACAGCGGTCTTATCGCCATATTGGCCAGTAAGGCGCCTAAGTTTAGCGTAATAGTAGCTCAGTAATTGGAGATACTCCGTAGACTATGATAGCGACACTTTTTAACAAACGTAATTATTCAAGGATCATTACCTATTAGAAATGTATAGACAGGCAGTACTGTTTAAAGTACAAAGGATTGGCTCCTTGTCCGTAGTATATCCTGAAGGCAAATGAACCCAGGCACCCATAGTGAAACTAGCAAAATGAAAGGTGTCTTCTTATTAAAAACTCTACCAGATATGCTGCAGTAATTTAAGTATTTTAGATACCAACCTCTTCAGCAATGACATGGATTGAAAAGAAGGCAATCGGATAGCGGAAGCGCCATCAAGAGACAACGCTTGATTCATGCTAGTAAACAGAAATTACATTTTATTTTAACGTGGTTGTATTTTAGAATATTTATATAGTAAACATAGTCATAAACTAGCATTTACTCACCGGTCTATACATTTATACGATAATCGCGACCAAATAACTCCAGGTTGATTGTAAACAAACGCTCCCAATCGGCCACCCGAGTATGAGGTATCAAAAACATTTCCTGAGTCCGTTAATAGAGTTGCGCCATGGTATATCCAGACCCTACAATTACATTCATAATTTAAAGACTTAGGAAGATCACTTTAAAATTATGTTGAAAATATTATGGTTTTACACGTATGTAATGTTATTACCGAATTAGCCCCAGAGATGGTCGGTGGACCAGATGGAAGGAGTATGCTACTTCGTGTTCCCAACCTCTCATGGCTGGATCTTGCCACAATAACTTAACCTACAGGTAATCAAAGGCGATTAATCATATATGAAATGCGCGAAGTAATACCATGAATATCCCTATAGATGATCTTATAGCTGGCAGAAGGCTATAGTTATGCTTACTTGATTTGCAGTAGTGTATGTGTCAAACAATGCCTGTGCAAGAGCATTGCTTGGACCAGTAGTAGAATTAACTCGCTAGATAAAAAAGAGAGAAAAATGAGATGCATATGACAGACACTTATTTCTTCATATAATCTTTTTGTGTCCAAAAATACCTAATAGTACCCATAACCTTAAAAAAATGTAAAGAAAAACATACAGGAAAGTGCTGCCTTTTACTATATCGTAATTACCTTAATTTGAATTCCTTTAATACCAGCTTCAGGTGGAGTTGAGCCGCCTTGATAGTTAATATTTTTATGGCGCCACATAACGACATAAAATTGACGATTGTTTTGGTATCCAAACACAAAACCGATGTAATTACGCGATTCTTGAGTATTGACATACAGAGTACCAGTAAAGTTGACGGCTGTAAACTGATCATATCCTATTAATGAAAAGAAATTTATTATCAGGTTACTGTATAATGGACTAGTAATACATAAATTAACCTACCAACTAAGATAAAGGGCAGCGATGAAGCGTTAGTTTGAGTTATTTCAGAGCCTTGATCAGTTATTGTAAATACTGCCGCTGGTGTATTAGTGACTCCTAATGATATAACCTGGTGTCTTGTGAAATTGGTATGCATATAAAACTTATTATAGAAGCAAGAGTCTTGATCATCATTGATTCCATCACCATCAAAATCAGGGTCGCATGCATCGCCTTCCGGTGATGCGGAATTGGTATCATTTTGATCAGCATTAGCTAATAAGCGGCAGTTATCTAACGCATTACTGATTCCGTCATTGTCTGCGTCCGGATCGCACTCATCTCCTAATATAGCGTAAAGGATAGCTAATTAACGACATTGAACTGTACTATTTCGATCGCAGGATTTTAGTAGTACAAAATATTATTTAACTAAGTCATAACGCTTACCTAAGCCGTCGCCATCTGTATCAATTTGTGATGGATTAGGATTGTTGATACAATTGTCAATGGTGTTTATAATTCCATCACCATCTCTATCGCACAAATAACCTAAACTCGCACAATCGCAAGCATCTCCAACACCATTCATATTGGTGTCAGCCTGAGTATAAAAAATTTTAAAGTTGTAAAAATAAATGTAAACGTCTACGTCGATGTTATCAACTATAGTGGTGTTCAATTACGAAATGCAATTCGTATCATTACAACTTATTGTATAATATATTCAGACACAATGAAATTATCATTATGATATAAAAGTGTTTATTTCTTGAGTATAAGTTACCTGAGTTGGATTGGAAGTCGACGGACAATTATCACAAGCGTCACCAAAAGCATCTCCATCAGAATTTGTTTGTGAAGGATTAGCAACAACTTCGCAATTATCACTGCCATTAGCAATTCCGTCGTTATCTTTGTCACTATCACAATCGTCACCAACACCGTCATTATCGCTGTCTAACTGCGAAGGATTAGAAGTAGACACACAGTTATCACAAGCATCACCAACTCCATCGCCATCAGAGTCTGTCTGATCAGTGTTTGCGACCAATGGGCAATTATCCTAACAGTAAGACCACAGATAAAGTTACACATTATAGCATAAACATTTACAATTCACCTATTGAAGATATACACTTAATTTGCTGATAACATATAAGAAACTTACAGTAATATCTAGTATAAGATCATTATCATCGTCAAAATCGCAAGTATTGCCTAAAGTATCTCCATCAACATCTTCTTGGCCACTATTTGGAACGATCGGACAGTTGTCAGCCTGGCAACCGCGGTCATGACAGTAAACGTAAGCGATTGGAAAGCCATCAGCGTCATCGTCCTGTCCACAATGTACACCATTACCAGCATAACCAGGATTGCACTATAATGGAATATAACGCGTCCATCAATTAATAGCTAATACTTAGAAATTAATACAAAGGCATTAACAACCGTAATGATCAAGTTAATACATGCCCTGCAGACGAATGTTCCCATTCCTGTAAAAATACACGTAGCATTTCCATCGCAATTGTCCTTCTTACTGGTGCAAAAGTCACCAAATATGCAGCCAGTATATCCATTACCAAAGTAACCAGCGTAGCAATTACCACATAGATATCCTCCCTACAAATAACAAATGTATAGATGTATAATTGAATTATAATGATACATGCTAATTTGTCATTTTATAGCATGTATTGTAGTTAGTATTAGACAATATGTGTAAAATTATTAGTAGAAAAAGTTGAATAGTTTAATCAAGTGGTAGACTTACAATAGTATTATTACAATAAGCATTTGGCACACAAACATGTTCCCCGAGAGCACATTCGTCAATATCGGTACAGGTCTGCTTGTGAGACAAGGCGTAATCGACACCGATGCCTGAAGGTTGATCTCCAGTCATGCCTAATGGACAGCTTGCACAAGCAAAACCAGGAGCGAAATTGATACAATTGGCTTGATCATAGCAAAATGTTCCTGCTGCACACTATTAAAAGTAATAATATCGCAATTGAGGTAAAAATGTTTTATTCTGTATTATGTATGGTATCTATGGCAATTACAGGTAAGATACAGAATATGCAGTATTATTACAAGCGAAGGCACATTAGCATAAAATGATATTGTTACCTCGTTAATATCGGTACAATTGATTCCATCTCCAGTGAAGCCAACTGGGCATTTGCCACATGCAAATGTTGAAGTGCCGTTATCATATAAAATGTTACGACATTCTACTTCCGGAAAACAGGGCTTATCTACCACACAAGGGCATTGACCAGGAGAGCACGTTTGGCAATGATCACAGACACCTTTCGAATACATACCCTCAGGGCAAAATACACAATCCTACAGAAAGGTTTATGAGTATCAAAATTATTATGACATTATTATTGTATCATGAACCAAAAAATTAACGTCATTAAGATATTTACAATAGACACAAAAAGATATAATTACATTACCGATGCTCCTTCAAAGCTGTGAGTGCCATGCGGACAGCATGGACAAGAACTAGCATTATACGAGGAGGCATAGGTATTGATTGGACAAGGTTCGCATTGAGTAGTAGCGCCAGTTCCGTAAGTTCCAGGGTTACATCCAGTTATCTTGCCTTGATAGCAAGCAGTACCTGGTGGGCAAGCCTCACATACTGGTGGACAGTACTAAAATGAATGATATAATATAATTACTACCAAATATGATCGAGAAAATAGTATTTTCATGTATTACCGTAATTGTTACGTTAGCATTCCTAGGCACGATACAATTTAAACTACTTACCGTGTAGTTACATTTCGCATGAGTAGCTGGAGGACATGGTAAAGCATAGCCATCATGACAAATCCAGCCATGCGGACATGTTTCACAGTGATCCCATGCACCAAAGGAATGATATGTAGTATCATTACGACCAGAACAATCGGTGGTATTAGGATTACAACCACATTTGTGCTTTAGTCCGTCACCGAAGCAGTAATAACTTGTTGGACACCTAGCACACTCAGTATCATCTAAATTATGAAGATAAATTGAGTATATAGAACAATGTTTAAGTATTAATGAATAACAAGTTAGTATAGAGGCTAACAGCCGTCAAAGAGAATTTGACATCATTTCACTCATGCAGTACTCACTGTACTTAGAAAAGGTAATATAGCCAGGAATACGTAAGTAAACGTCGACAATACCAGGAGAGCTTTCATTTAATGGGAATGTCATTCGTGACGTGTTGCAGTTTTCAAACATTGTCACATTGAACATGAGATAAGTACCAAGGGTAGGTGTACCTTTATCGACTATCGTGACCGTAAATGTATATACTATCGTTTTCGTAGTATTTGCTGGAGCTCTATTAAATAGTAACAAAGGGCGTTACAAGGTCACCAAAATTTTTCTCTGTATAAAAACTAGTTAGTCCTATATTTTACGCTTACGTCACGGTTATATCTTGTGTAGTATATATCATTGCACCGTTATCTGTACTGTCACGATCTGTCGCGTTAATTTGAAAGAGAGGAGGAACTTGCAAAGCGGTCACAGCTACATGCGTTCGTAAATCAGATGTAGCTATCGGACAGTTATCATTTATATCTTGAACCAAAACCTGAAATTGATTTTTTACTCTCATTAGTCATTAGTGATATTATAAATTCTAAAAATTTTTTAGTTTAAAAACCGACTTAACTTGAAATTACTTACCTTAATCATGGCTTGTCCTATTCTGGGTGGCGAATATCCGGTATCATTTATGCTGATAAGAAAGTCATAAAAAGTAACAAATTCATGGTCTAGCGGTTCCTGACTTACAACCATAGCCTCAGTAGTGGTGACGGCGAACAGGGTTGCAGGAGCGCCATTCGTATATAATGGTGGTGGGCTATTAAGACAGATACCAAATGTTTGATTTCCTATTGTCACTGTAGGTAAGGTCGAAGTTGTGGGTGCAGCAGGAGTCAAAGGAGCCGTAGGATTGTTACTATTTATTGTTAAATGTCCGTAAGTATTTCCACTTTCGATTTGTAGCATGTACGTAGTGCCATTGCTATAGGCATCTATAATAACACATACAGATCAACGTGATGCACATCAAATAATGAAATTACCATCCATTGTCAAAAAATTGAAGATCTGGTGATTTTTTTAGTTGCAAACCTGTTAAGTTAAAGCGAGTTATTAAACTACCAACATTTAAATTTTCTGGAGTTTGAACAACGTAATCTAGTGGAGGAACAGTTCTTGTGAATTTTGCTCCTTGCGATTCGAAGAAGAAGTGCGTAGAGCACGTTACACCGCGATGAGCAATGAATATGTCGAGATGATACGTATAGCCAACCTAAGGAGAAATGTACAAGCAAATACTTGCGTTAATAAACAATAGAAACACAAAAGGGAATTTAAAATATGTTAAATAACAAATTTAATGGACAAAAATTAAGTTTCGTTAAAAGACATGATTTCAAATTAATTATAGTCAACTTACGACTAGTTTGAATTTTGGAACATTGGTTGAAATAGTTGTGTTAAGTACACATTCGTTGCCACTAATTACTCCGCCTCTAATTTCCGGATAGCCACCCTCACTCGCCAGTAAAGGTGAAAGCGATACTTGACGACAAGGCTTCGTAACAGGATTGGAAGCATCCGGTAAGCTAACAATCATATAACCATCAATGAAGACCCACATTTCATCACCAGCACCGAATGTGAGTACTTCCGTACCATTAAAAGTTATAGCAGCGTGAATTGTAGCTGTCCACCTATTAAAATTATTAAGTAAATTAAGACTACAGAATTTCACACCCTAAACTTGTATTATTATAACAGTCCTCTGATATTATTCCTAAATGTAAGCAAAAAGATATCATAGGCTATTCTCACCCTCTATTTCTTAATTGGCTATTACAATCACGTTGACCTTCAGACCGGAAACCTCGACCATCAACGGGCCGAAATGGATTATCGTACTTTCGATTAATTTGATCCGGCCCGGCAGGTGTAGTATTCAATTTCTCGATCAGTATTTGAGTTTCTATGGCAAAATTATCTGGCGGTAATGTGACAAACCATTGAGTTAAGGTATCAGATGTTGATGGTGGAAAACTCTTGGCTAGCCAGCTACCATAAGGACTTTTAATAAAAGCTGGAAAGACTAAATGATTTATAACTTCCTTGCCAGTAAAATCTGGATGCATCATACTATTTTAATACATATATAATTAGTACTTTAACAATTAATAGCGGTAGTTAAATATCGACTGATTCTAGGACATTCTTAAGATATACTGTACCTAAAATCACGATAAGTCACATCTAGAACAATGTCTGGACAATTGTTCTCCGGTGTACAGTTAGCATAATTGACTATATAAAAACAGGGAAAATGATAGTTATGACTTTTAGTGAAATATTTTAAGTTGAAAGTAGCCTCTATATCTAGTAAAGATACTTCATGCTGTAAAAGTAGTCAAAGCATGTTAATAATATTGTCACCTACCAACAAATTCCAATGTAGTAATGTACAATGGACGACTTCTTGCACTTTGTACTACTGTTGTATCCAATGAAACGTAACAGGTATAGTCTGTTCCAGCTTGAACACCGTCTGCTTGCGTAAATGAGACCTAAATAAAGAATATACAGAAAAAATTTTGTATTCATTAAGAAGGACCCATAACTCTTGATTGATGTAATCAAAGGAATAGGCGAATAAGCTATGATTGATGATAACATTTGAATGTTTGTTATTACCGAATTTGTTGTTACAGTTTTAAGCATCGTAGGAGCAATTTCACTTGAACAGTTAGCATGGTATTGCCAGGCAGCCGTCGAATAGGATGCAGGATTAGCTCCAGGGAATAATAGAGGCGTTGACCAGTTAATATAAATGGTATAATCAGTAGGAGCAGAGATAGATAGATTGGCGGGAGCTAGAATAAAAGAAAAAATTTTGTCCTTTTATTACCGATAGCAAGAACACTTCACCGTACATAACTTGCAATTTTTTAAAAAGAATATGACCCACTGTTTGATAAACTAAGACTTACAGCAAGTAAAGATGTCAATGTTCTCATTTCTGAAGTATTTAGCATCATTAGTATTAGTAGTGCCAAATAAAACGCCTGCAGTTTGCGTTGGAGTCGCACATGTTCCGCTTGTTAATACCGTATTGTTAAACCAATCCATGGTGTAATAAACATTGCAGTCACAACCAAGAGGATTATTGGACAAGTCACTAAATTGATATAATATGTGAATCTTAATTGCAAATTTTAGTTACATCTACATTAAAAGTAATATGTGTTATAATTGATCAACTTTAGTTAATAATCTATATGTAAGATTAATGTATCGTACGTTGAAGTCAAAGCACTGAGATAAAAAAAGGCTTTCCGATAAACAGCTTCGATTTTATTATTTTGCAACGTCCTAGTCGGAAAAATAAATTATTAGATGTGCATGATCTTGAACGAAATTTTTTTATCTTGTTTAAAATCTACATTAAACAAGCTACGAAATACTCGTATATCAATCAATATACGTATGACTCACCATATTTTTACATATAGGTACAGTATATACTTGAACTACTTACAAACTCTGTAAGGCGGTCAAATCTGAGGAAAGCAACGGCAAGTAAGGTAAGTAGTTGCTGTGTAGTTGCCTAATAAAATCGAAAAGATTTATAATGAATATGAAATGAAAAAAATAGGTATAAAATTACAATTTGATATAAGTAAAGCTATTCAAAATCGATATAATATCATAGTTCATACAGTGTGCGAAGAGAAGGCAATCCATTAAATGCTCCTTCTTCAATTCTTGATATGACATTACTATGTAAATACCTACGGGTCATAATTAGTGAATTAGTGCGACCCAAGAAATGGCTATGAGAAATAAGCTATCACATTGGAAGATTAAGACATACATGCACGAAATATGATTAAGAACTGAAATTAAAATAAGTTCTGTACAAAAGTATTTCACTTACAGGGTATTCAAAGCATTTGAGCCTTTAAATAAATCTTTGGGCAAGTAACGAATTTGATTGCTATGTAAATACCTAAGTGAAAATTTGTTGATATATAAGCGCTATGACTCTTCTTAAATTGGCATAAAAATATTTGGTAATGCAAATAATAATACACTTACAGCTCCAAGAGATTAACTTGATTAGCTATTGCACCATCATGCAATACAACTATGGGATTGTCGTTGAAGTATCTAAAATCAATTAATAGCTTATTTCATAAGTTCGATAACTTTAAGAGGTTTGAACTTAAATTACACAATGTAAAAGCTATCTGGCTTTTGCTTACACT